AATTAAAGACTGATGATTCAAATGTTGGTTTGGTGTATCCTTCACTATGGAATCTACCTGTGGCTATATGTAAATCATCTTATTAGCGAGCATATTTTTATGATAAAGTATTAAAATTAACAAATTACACTGAACTATCTATATATATATATATATAGCAATTAAGACAGCAATGATAGTAAAATTTCAAGATATTTCACTTCAGAATAGCCTATATTCACATATCAGAAATATTTCTAATAAAGATGTGTATCTTTTCTATTTGATATTTCTGCAAGGCAAGTTCTAAATGAGGAGACAGGTTTCTCTACACAAAAAGAGATGTATCACAATAAATATAATTTATTCTTAGAGATAAATACTGAAAACAAACATTGAGTAATAGAACAGTCTCCCGACTAAATTGGATGATTCTTAATATCAGAAAACACACTTCCTATTTAGTATGCATGTCATAAAGCACAATGCTTAACTTATAAGTTAATTTATAAATGATTATTCAATGAATGAATACATATTCTCAAAGGAAAATAAATGTGTACCATTCATCACACATGCCACTTTCTGCTTTTGATAAGGTTTTAATGAATGATCTTTAATTTAATGCTGTGTCTTCTAATAGCTCTCTCTTTTTTTAAAGTTTAGTTATACAAGAAATGGGGTACAGGATAGATGCGCGGGTAGGGGGGTGAGAGGATTCACCAGAGACAGAGTGGGGAACAGAACAGGCAGACTGACGAAATACACAGCTGAGGGGAGCAGCAGGCACGACAGGAGAGGCCTGCTGTGCCATGTGGGACCCTCACCAGCTGGCCGGGATCAAACCGGCACTGCAGAGGCTGCGGACAGCTTCATAGCGCTGTGCTCAACCACCTGCGCCACCAGGGGAGGCCCTCTTCTTATATCTCTTCTAATATCTTTGGAATTATAAATTTATGTTTCCAAAGGAAAAGCCCTTAGTTGACAATTAGCAGCAAACAAAAAAAAAGCTTAAACATGCCATACAGGTAAAGTTTCTATCAAGAATGATTTTATCAGTAAGAAACATATCTCAGGAGACAGGCTGAGGGCACATATCCTGTAGTAGAGGAATTCTGAGAGTAATTTCATTGGACCAATCTTCCCAGACCAGTCATCTGAGAGAAATAGTCAGCATAGATTTTCATCTGTGATTTCATTGGTGAAATCAGTTTGCCAGTGATATGCCAGATATGCCATATTCTGCCAGATATGCTAGCAGTCAGTGTTTTTCAGATGAGAATTTCTAAATTTTTTAAATAAATATTTACAGTTAATCTCATTTTTTGTCCTTTACCAGAAATAGGCATATTAAGATAATACCAATGATGATTTCTCATGGAAAATTAATTTTTAGTTGAGTTCTAAGAAATTAAGGATACCTCAAAAAAAAAGTTCATACAGTCAAGTGAAATGAACACTTTGGTTTTAAGTTTACAGTTTTTATGATCTATGTAGGACTTTAGAGATATTAATGAATTATCTAGGGTGTAGAATCTGTTCTGAGTCCTTCCATATTGATAAAACTTATAAGTTCCTTAAATACAAAGTGGAGTCACAATGTAATCAGGGGAAGATATTCATTTGAAATAGACAAATAGACAACACAAATAGATGTTTAAACTTATTAGTTCAACTAAAAAGCTCTCTCCTGGAAAATAATTCAGTTTGTCTTCTCTGAGTGAAAAGACCCCTAATTGAAAAGATACTTTCAACTTCAGAAATCTGTGGATATTATTAATTAGAAAGTTATAAAATGCTAGTAGTCTAAAAATTTAAACAATCCCTGCTCCAGTTGGAGAGCAAATACATTCCCAGTTTGTATTTATGTGTGTGTATATATATGTATTGGCTATTTCGAGGAATAAAGTTTATATTATTGACCTGTAAAAAATTTGAATTAAATGTTTTGGATACTTATTTCATCAAGATAGTCCCATTTTCTAAAGGATAACTACTACTAAGTAATATGTACAAGGTGTTCATTTAGATTTAGTATTAACTGAATAGAACAGTCAAACAAATCTGTCCCAGTCATTGAATATCGAAGTGTGAACATACTGGTTCATTATAATATATCAGATTTATGGTTCAAATAACAAAAATCTTATAATACTTAGTGGTAGGTAGTCATTTCACTGTCCTTCATTGATCCTATAAAGAGCTTTCTTTTAACTGTTACTTCTTTATAATAATCGCATTAATGGGTATCTTCAGACTAGCTTTAACATATGCCACCAAAGTTAGAGTAGTTTGCCTACACAAGATTAACAACTTCTTTCCCGGGTAAAATTAGTTTTATACAACAGCTATGTAGAATGTCTATAAATCCAATCATATATCAAATGCATTGGTGTATATTTCCAACATCATCATCCACTTGTATAACTCTATAATTTATGAAGTATTTTTTAAATATTACAATTAAATCACAAAAATTCCATTTATATATAAGATAGTGAAATGAAGAGATAACTATTATATCATGACCAAGATCCCTTGGTTAGGAATGACAGAGTTAGGAGTAGAACCTGACCTAGGGTCATATTTTTCATACTGACAAGTTGTTGCCACACCTGTCTTATAATTATCTAAATCAGAATTTCGGTATAACTGTTTCCCTTACAGCCTTTTAGTAGTAACATATGCAAATAAATCCAAAAGATGGGAATTCATGAGATGCACATATAGTTATTTTTATAGGCCAATAATACATTAAAAAAGATACAACTCATCCATAATCAGTTTCCCATCACTGATAAGTTTGAAGCCTGTGACTGACCTTGACTTTGGGTAAATAGGAGCTATGCAAAACCTTTCATTAGAGAATCTGTCTCAAGTTTAACAAGGAAACAGAAATAGATCAAAGAATGCATTAGCTTAAAAGATTTCTGACTTTTTCTAGTGACTCTCAGAATATTTAGATATTTGCTCAAATAGATTCTAGGTGAATTTTCAAGATTACCAACAGCTGCAATGGGAATGTAGAAGGGTCTAGGGCCTATGGAAAAATAGTATGTTGGTTTCTCAAATTATTAAAAATAGATCTAGCATATGACCCAGCAATTCCACCTATGTATCTATATGAAGAATAAAATACACTAATTCAAAGGACATGTGTACTACTATGTTCATTGTAGCAGTAATTAAAATAGCCAGGTTATGGAAATAACCTAAGTGCCTAACAACAGATGAATGATTAAGAAGATGTGGTATATATACACGCAATGGAGCTGAAAAAAAAAAAATGAAATCTTGCCATTTGTGACAACATGGAAGGAACTGGAAGAGATTCTACTAAATAAGTCAGAAGGAGAAAGTCAAATATCAGATGATTTCACTCCTATGTGGAATACAGAGAAACAAAATAATGGAACAGACAAAATTAAATCAAAAGCAACCCTAGAAACTTGACTGCAGAATTGAGGCTACCAGAGGGGTAGGATGGGGGTTTGTGAACAAAGTGTAAAGGGCTCACTGGACAATTGTAGATGATCAACATTGCTATGGTGGTGGGTGTGATGTGGTAACATACATCTGAAGAGGTGTGAACTGTACCTCTAAATCATATACAGTGTTTTCTACCACATTATCTCAATAAACAATAATACAGATTTTAAAAAAAGATTGCTAAAAGTGATATACATAAAGCGTATGTATAAAATGATTCATGGATAATCTTAATTGACTACATATTTTTTTAAAAATATGCTGACAAAAATTATGAGTTTTTATATAGCAAGAAAATGTTCCACTAAGGATAAAGTCTAATAATAACAAAGGATGTTTTATAACTATTAAATCTCATAAAGTATCTTAAATGGCCTCCTCTATCACCTATTAGTGGGATTGGGCTTAGTATCAGAAACTAAAGTTGACATTTAGTATCAATGTGCATTTTAACCTAAACCAAAAAAATTAATACCCATCATCTACAGTATAGGCAATACCAATGACTGTGTGGAATTTGGTGTTCAAACTGGTGAGTATAATTTCCTGAGCAAATTTTGGCAGAAGCACTGCTGGCATTTAACCTCACTCAGGATGTAAATCTATGACCTTTTGAAGGGCAGAGGTAACAAAAGCCAACCATACAGAAGAAATTTTGAATACACACACACAGTTTTGAAAATAGAATTTTATCAGTCAGAATAAATTAAAGTTCTTAATTATTTTAGTTCTAGGCCAAATTTTTTTAATCTTCATAGACTCATAACTCAAAAAATATTATTTTATTTCATTTGCTTTTTAAGTTAAAATCAAATTCTGTTCCTGAAATACTTATGATAAATGTGGTCAATTTCATCCTCTAGTTGGCCTGTATGACTGCTTCACTGGCAAAAAGTGAGGAAGATTATGTAGGTTACACTTTTCAAATAACCTAAAAATGATGCAAGAAAATAAATCTCAAAATTACTTAAAACCTTTGTCAAAAAAATTTGTTTTAAAGCAAGTATTTATGTAGATAAAATTATATCGAGTTATACAAACATGATATCTAATCGGAAAGATACTATTCTCATATCATCCTTATATATTAGTGTCAACAAAATTCAGTTAAAGCAACAATATATTCATATTCATATGGAGAATACTTACTTTACACAGTTTCACAATTATTAAACACAATTCCCATTCATTCAGAAAGTATCTTCATTGGGAGAAATACATTTACATACAACTGTTTGTTCAGCATTTAAACTATTTCCCCTGGTTAAAATTATTTTCCTCACAAAATTGAAGTTTCATTTTTTAAGAAGAGATATATTTACTAACTAGGCGCACTGTGCAATAATTATCTTGAACAGTTTGCTTTTGTTTGCTGTTAAGTAATTTGTTTCTTCCCTTGGAGTGTTAATCTTTGTTAAACCCAACAAAATACAAGATATTATTTCTAGCCAAAACCATTTTTATATATGTAACACATTTGTTATAACTTTTTTTAAATCAAGACTAAGACCAAAGGAAAAAATGTTACTTACTTTGCTTTAGCTTCTGCATCTTCATATGCCTTATTAGAAACATCATCCAATCCTCCAATCAAATGCTTGAAAGAGCTGACAGAAGAAAGACACAATGATAGGATAAATTGTCTACAAAGTTTTAACAAAGACAACTTATGCAGTGACAAGATGAAACAATGTAAATGGATCTAAATAAAAATGAATTCAAACACTTAATCTAGTTACATTATTAAGAAACTTAACAATGGTATAAACTTTGTCAGAGCAAGGATTTCTTCAATCTGTTCATCACTACTACCTAGAACCATGTATGGCAAAAACAGATATCCAAAGGTTTGGATGGAATAAAGTCTATGACACACTAGTTGATATACATCACAAATTTAATGAGTCAGTTAAACCACTAAAATAACAACAAAGTCTACCAATCATGGAATGCCTACTATATGTCAGATACTATTAACTTTCATGAGCATTGGCCTCTCTGGTGGTACAAGGGCTTAAGCACATCACTGTGAAGCTATCAGGAGCCTCTGCAGCACTAGATCGATCCCCGGCCGGCCAGGGAGCTACCCACATGGTGCAGCAGACCTCTCCTGTCTCGCCCGCTGCTCCCCTCAGCAGTGTATTTCAGTCTGCCTGTTCTGTTCCCCGCTCTGTCTCTAGTGAATCTTCTCACCCCCTGCACCTCTGGCCTGTACCCCAGTTCTTGTATACATAAATAAATAAATCTTTAAAAAAAAACTTTCATGAACATGTAATAATTCTACTTTTCAAACAAACTATAAAAGATAAGCATCATTATCACCACTTGACCTGATCTTCAAAGACACAATAAAGCAGAAGATAACAATAAGGAAGCGAGGCATATAGTAAAATCAATTCATTTTGGAAGAGTGAAAAAATGACTAGCATAAAACAAGAGTAATACAAATTTATTTGAGATCTTATTATGCACCTAGAACTGTAAGTACTGAATACATCCAGATAGAGTAACTCTTATATACACTTCATTTTGGCAGCTACTGAGCTGGACTGAATGAAAGAGCAACATAAGTCTGTATTCAGAAGTCTGAGTGCTCACATAAATGACTGGAGTCCTCAGTGTTTATATGCCAGGCAATGTTCTGTGTGCTTTACATGTAGTAAATGTTTTAATAGGAACAAATGTTTTAACCATCCCAGCAGTTAGTATTATCTCTGTTTTATAGATGAGGCCTCATCCTAAGGCATGAGAGGTTAGAAAACTGACCAAAAACCATTCAGCCAGTAAGTATGAAGACTGCCATAGAAGGAAGCAATCATTTCCCTTCATATTCTTAAAACCTATACAGCCTATACCATGGCTGCTATCTAAATAACCATGCCTATCAATATCAGACATCTATCAAATCCCTAGCAGTATCCTGTGTGGGTGGAGAATTTTAAGTGCTGTAAGAAATTACATTAAAATTTAAAACCTTGATAGTCATAATACATGCACATGGCTTTGTGTGTTGTGAACACTGAACAAGAAAATAAGCAAGTGTAGGTCTGGAATCATATAGGAAGTTTGCTGACTTCAATTTAATTTGCTTGATCACTTTCTCATACACTCACTTTTGGGAAAGCCTATAAAGAGGAACTTGACACTCGGCTAGGAGGTGAATGAACAGGAATAGCAGCTGTTGTCTCCTGCCCTTGGGTAATGATCTCATCTGAGGGTCAGGGTAAGTACACTGCTGGGCTAAATATACTAATTATTTCTAATAAAAAAAGGGGTCAAAAGAAAATGACTAGTCAGAGGGCCAAGGATTCAAGATTCTTATTCTAAAGGGTAAAGTTTCCTGTACTGAATTGTATTAATGAATGTCAAATAAATGAATGCTGAATTGAGTGAAAAATAGGCAGTGGTCCTTGTAAAATTTTCAAAAGTATATAATAAATGATGAAAATGATAAATATAACTCCTATTGCGGAAAATAATATAAATATGATTTTTGCCATTGTTCTTTATATGGTAAATTTCCCAGCCTCTCCATGGACTATATTGGGCATTAGAGACTAAGTGTGCTTTTATAGAAACTTCCTAAGGCTAAACAGGTTCACACTGTAAAATATTTTTCTTTCTTACTATAAAAAATTAATGACATGATTGATTTCCTGGTTTCAGTCAATATGAAATTTAAGCACAGTCTGTTACTCATCCCAGAAGACTACAATTTAGCAGCAGGCACAGGATGATAGTCCATATTCTCTAGTGCCACTTCCATTTTTTATAATACTTAAATATTTTTAGTAAAACCAAATATAAAACATTGTGAAAGGTATTGACAAAGAGAAACCAGACAATTATGTGTAAAACCAAGGAACAATAAGCATGAAAACTTAGCTCATCAAATACATTAAGATATATTAAAGAGGTTTTGTTCTCGTATATTTGAAGCTCAGTAATTTTGAGAGTTCAGATAGTAAAAATACTTCTCTCTTCCTTCTAGTATCTATTTGAGTTAAAAACACCTTAAGTAGGATAACACATTATCAAAGAATTAGTGTGAACTGATGACACACTTAATAAGGATAAAGGCCTTTGTAATTAACCCATTAGTCTAGGTTAAAACACCATAGATCATTTTTTCAAATAGTTTGAAATGTCTGTTTGCAAAATATGCAAATAGAAAAGCAAAGGTCTGGTTAAGCTGTACAGCATTTTAAAATGATAAATCATCTAATCTCAGCTTAAAAGTTCATTGAGCCTACTTGAAAAAATACACATTTATTACTGAAGCATTTATTATTGAAGCAACATCGGATTCAGGTTTACATCCTTAAAAATCAACATGTATATACAGGACATTCTAGAAATAGTAATGACCTGTTTATATTCATTTTTGTTCAATCTTAGTCATATCCAAAGACAACTACTGCATTTAAAAAGAATAAAGAAAGGAGGTATTTGAATTATGACTTTTACATGTAAATCTTCTTATGTATCCCTGTTTTAAATAGGTATTTTCTATTTAGAGGTAATAATCCAATATTTAATTTTTTACTATTAGACAAAAAAGGGAAATGATATGCACTTACAGAAAGCCTCAGCCTTGACATGATGGAAGCTTATTTTTAAAATATACTCCCTCTAATGGAGATAAACCATTTTCATTTTAAAATACAACCACTAAAATAAATAAATAAATAAATAAAATAAAATCACTTTCATAAGAAAAAATTCTTAAAAGTGACAGAAGGAATTAATAATTTACTTATAACTCATCACCAATAACTAATCAGAACATTTTTATGTATTGCTTTTTAACCTTTTCTACACAGCTTCATTGGTCTTATTTAGAGAGTTGTAATCATAAAGTAATTTAATGTAACAATTATGACTGAATATCCTAATTTATCACAATATTTAGGGTACATACATTTTATTTTTAAAAGCTCCATAAACAATAATTTCACATGCTTCACAATGGGTCATTACACACATCAGAATTTCTACTTATCCATCTGCACACACATACAGCCACCAACTTAAAAACACACACACGTACAAATCCAAAGGAAAGAAGGGCTGTAGCTGATATATATAAATTTTATATTTATGAGGATTGAACATATGGAATTTCTTTTGAAATTGGGAACATATGTCCTTTGTAAGTAATCTTCATTTAGAAATCAATCCCAGCCAAGTAACATTTTCAAACATGAAACAAATGCAACCTGCCAATATCCTCAGTCTCTTCAATCAAATGGTTGTATTTAACTAGAAGTTTAATAAATTGTAGCATCTTCAAGCAACATTAATAGGTTCCAAGTGCCTCTCTGGCTATCCCTGCAATGATCAATGAATAATTTAAGAGATCTCAATAAGCATAAATGATGAAGTTTCAGAATTTATCATTCCTGGTGCAAGTATGAACTAATTGATGTTTCATTTTTCCCTCTGACAGATACTCTATAGGAACACCTGCCATCTGTGTGGACTTCCATCAAAAAGTCATTTATAAAAGTATTACTATAGGTGACAGATGCCTTTTTAAATATTTACTCAGGTTCTATGACATTTCTTAACAATTATAGAAGACTTTTGTTCTAATTCAGAAGGGGATTATAACAAAAGGTTTTGAACACTTTAATGAATGAGTCAATATCATAAAATATTATTTACCAGTTATAACAAACATATAATCATTTATATAAATGATTATATAGCTATATACAAATATAAAAAATAATCATTCAATTTTCTTTTTAAACAAACTCAATGTCTGAATTATATTTTAGCATTGTTAAATAAAATATCCAATTTCACATATTCTCTAGATTTCACTCAAAATAAATGAAAGAAACATTATTAGGCAAAACTGTTTCAATTAGGGCATTTGAACAAGAGTCACTGGGTGCACACTGTGTGAGGCTCTTTTGTTTATTTTCTTAGGATGTGAAATACAATTTGAAATTTTCACAGATTTGACAGAATTTTTTAAGGAGATGGAGAAATTGTTATTAGTTAAATTTGTAGGGGTAGAAATAGAGCAAACGGAAAATCCCTTTTATGTTTAATGTCGGTTGTATAAACAAACACACTTGCAGAGAGAGTTGGAAATGAAACAAGAAAGGAGGGAGAGGGTGTAAAGAAGGGGGCTGGGGGAAGAAGAGGGAAGGGAGGGAGAGAAATAAGTGGGAGGAAGGAAGGGGAAATAAAGACCTTGCACATCAAGAATAATGCTATTTATAGAAAATTTCCTTAAGAAATATCAGATAAAAGACTCTGCTTCTCATTCTAGAAAATTTGTCTGTTTTAGAACATTCTAGTGACAGTAACTCAGTGGGTAGTAATTTCAGTTATTAAGATGTTTTCATTATAAAGGCAAAACATCCTTCTGAAGGGAGCTGATTACTCAGTGGTGTAGCTAAAAAGTGTATAATTTTGTTCTTTGGTTGTGATATGATGAGACTTCACCTACAGAGAAATGGGCTATTAAATTATTAGAAAGTCAGTTCAAATATCAGAGATCAGCATTATCCTGCTGCTAAAAAATAACAGCACTTACATTTTATTTTACAGAGTACAAAGTAATTTTTAGAAGTCATGTATGTATTCAATA